TTTTGCTCTAAAGAAAATAGAGAAACACATTTAAAGCTTTAATAGCTAATATAGGTTCAATTACAACTATGTTGTGTAATTTGTGCAAAAGTCTATAAAATTTAATCAGAGCCAATAGGTCAGACTGAAAAAACCCCCCATAAATTTTGCACCTGCCAGAAAACAGGCTTGGAGCATCTTTAAATAAAAAAAAGACAGTAGAGAGGCCGCTTGCTGTACGCCGCTAGTCGTTTTATGTGTCAATCCTGGAAACAGGCCAGCTGGCTAAAAGGGAGTCGACCCTCAGAACACCGTTTAGCTCACCGGATGAATGAAACTTACCCCTTGAATGTCACCATATAAAATATTTAACACATGCTCACAAAAAAAACATGTAGTCTGCTAACCCTAAATCAAAGGTCAGCAAACTTCGGCTCCAGAGCCACATGTGGCTCTTTGGACCCTCTCTAGTGACTCTTAATCGTGGCTAAAATTTATATAAAGAGCAAAATAATGTACTATAATAGATACCAATGTTAATAGCTTTAGTCTTTTTTTATAAGATGGAAAAGAATGAGATTAAAAGAACCAGAAATATGTTTTAAGAGACATTTTTCTTTGAATTAGCTTGGAAATTATGCGTTTTAACATTATTTTAAAAGCTAAAAAATACATGAATTGTTGTTAAAAATGGCAACTCATTTCCTATACAAGATTAAAAAAATATATATATATATTTTTCATTTTGCGGCTCTAAAAAAACTTTTACTTGGTTGGACTCAGGGGGGAAAAACTGGTCTTTGGTTATTAAAGGTTGTAGACCCCTGGCCTAAATCATAGCACAGACTTTATGCAGAACTAAATTAAACATTTGTATTAGTTATTTTTTATTTTTACCTTTGTAACTTGAAAATAAATATAGGAAACAAAGCATCCTGCTGCAGAGGGGTTCTATTTGGTAGCGGTGCTGGAAGTGATGGGAAACAGAGTAACTGGGAAAGCAAAATCTGTTTTAACAACATCTGAAAATGTTGGAGAAGGTGGTTTTTTCAGAACCAGGTATTTAGACACAGAGCCAAACACATGGGAATGAGAGAGTGGAGTGGCTGGAATGTCTAAGAGAACAAGGAACTGAAAGTGGGAATCAGGCAGAGCAGTTAAAGCGTCGTGTCATGTTTTACCAGGGCCCATTTCTCAAAGTGTGAGCCCTTGCAGGGGCTTAACACACGGATGATTACTATACTATTACTGCTGCTGCTGTAGTTGTCTGGCAGGGAGACATGGCTGAAGCTGTAGCCCCCCCTCCCCTCCTCTCCAAACCAACCCCTGCCATTCGTTCCAGACTGAAATGCCTATATTTAGAGTGCTCCTTTCCGCTGTTATGGCTGTTGAATCATTAGCCCCGTTTAACCCTTCTTTACCTCCAACAAGCTGGCTTGCTGAGGGCGAGCCCCTCAGGGGTAGATCCTAAATCCTGCCTCCAACAAACCAGAGTCCCCCTTTGAATGAATAAGGAGGAGTGTCTTGAGAATATGTGTGGATGTGCAAACGAAGCCTGAGGGTCCGAGAACTAAAACACACGATAATAACAATAGAAAGGTTCTGGCCTGGTAGGGGCGTCTGTCTCACATCTGATTTTGTTTGACATGTTTAAGAGATGTGGATGTTGATTGAGTAGTTAGATGACCTGACCTTTCATCTGCTGTACCCTTTAGTGGACAGTGTCCACATGTGGATGAGTGAAATGTGAAATTTTCTACAAGATCTCACAAAGACTGCTTACATTTAAATAATCTAAATTAGATAAGGAGTATTCTAGAATAGATATCTGATTATGAACTTTATGGTGCTTTGCCAGACTTTATACAGCACAGGTTTCCTGTCTGCCACATAATAATAGAAGTCTGAGAGAAGATACAGGTTGAAGAAGAACCTCTGCATTGTTTCCACGGGGAAAAGAGAACAGAGACAGGAGAGAAAAGATTTGTTCTTTCTTTCTAGAGAGTAAGAAACCCCTCAGTCATAAGCCCAGGGAGAGAGAAGAGCATTAAACCTAACGATATAAGGAGATGGCAAGGGACTAAATTTTATCATATCTTGAATCCAAACTGAGAGCGGAAAAAACGATTCAAATCTGCATTTTGACAGATCCACAGATTTGCTCTAACTGACAGTTACCAGGCGGACCTTTAAATCAATAAAAAAATTAACCAGCTGAATAGCTGTTGAAGAGAGCCTGACTAGTGCAGCTTTCGTTACTGTTGACACCATGTACAACAAAAACATGAAGAGAAAACCGGGGAAGCCAACCTCTCTGGAACATTTTATGTTCTATTATAGGGTGACCAAACGTCCGTATTTCCCAGGACATGTTCGTATTTCACGTCCTGTCCCGGGCTCCCAGGTTTTTTTTAGAAAGTGAGGAAATGTCCTGTTTTTTTAAATTACCTTCATTGGACCATTAAATTTACAGACGTTAGGGCGCTGCGCACGACGCTGCGTGTGACGTCACCCCTGAGCCGCGTCAGTGCGGGCAGCCTTGTTCTTAATCAGAATATAGATAGCGTGGCTGTCAGTACGCCAACAACATGCAAAAGTGCAAATGTATGTTTACCGACGATTTACAAAAGAGTTTCCCCACTTTCAGACTGGGTCGAGACAAACGGGAGGCCTTGTGCACAGTGTGCAAAGCAGGCACATATGTCTCGGTGTCCAATGGAGGTGCAAGGGATCTGAAAAGCCACTTGGACACCAGAAGTAAAGATAGTTTATTGATATGTTTGTTCGTTTTTTGGTACATTTTGAGTTATTTTTGCTACAAAAGAGGTATTTTTTGTTAATTAGCTCATTTGTTTATTTTCTCCAATAACCTACAGAACAGACATTATTTCGTTCATTGCTGAGGCTGAGTATCATCATATTGGGAGTTGAGAGTTATTGTTAACTTTTATTGTTAAGTGAGGGATGTTTAGATGAGACATTATTTCTTTCATTGTGCTATTCATTCATTACAGGAATTGTTAAGCATTTTTAATATATAAATTTTGAATAAAATTATCATTTGTTATTGGAGTTATTGCTGTTGACTTTTACTGAAAAGCATTTTTAATAAATCAACTGTTAATATGGGAACAGAAATACCCCACCGCCGCCCCCCGCTCCAAGGTGTCCTGGTTTTTCAAAATGAAAATATGGTCACCCTATTCTATTATGTAGAAAAAGCTTATAATTTATCATCCATCCATCCATTTTCCATCATGATAATCTCAAGCGGGGTCGCGAGGGGTGCCCTCACCAGTATCTCCAGCTGTCTACGGGCGAGAGGTCCACCCTGGACAGGTCACCAGTGCATCGCAGGGCAACACAGAGACGAACAGGGCAAACAAACATTCACACACACACTTATACATAAGAAGAATATTAGAGAACCCAATAGTCATGTTTTTGGACTGAGGGAGGAAGCCGGAGTACCCGGAACCCATGCACGCTCAGGGAGAACACGCAAACTCCATGCAATCCTGGGCCGGGATTTGAACCCGGAACCTTCTTGCTGGATGGATGGCAAATTTAACTGCTTCATTCTGATTATAATGACAGAAAACATGGTTGACAGAAATTAGCGCCTGTAATAAGAGATTATTTCTACACTACTGGCAACACTAATTGACACTCCAGCTTCAAAAAGTGCACCACATGAAGGGTACTGCAGCACTTTAAGCATCACCATTGCCTAAATGCAAAACATGTTACTGCAAATGCGGACGTTAGGGCTAAAGAAAGAAAAAAGGCACACTAAAATATTCAGAGCCAAAACAGCTAACATGGTATAACTGTTGACGTTAATGTCTACTTAATGATTTTGCTGTATAGAAAACGTGTTTATTTTGAAAAAAAAAACCTCTCAACATATTTTATCTGATAGAAATGTGATCAGTTTCAATTAATTACAACGCCTCTAATGAATAAGATTTTTTTTTTTGACACTTATAAATATTTATGGTTTCATATTTTCCCTCCGTGAGAGCTGCATTTGTCTGCATATCTTTGATATACGAATATTAATGCTCCAACTGTCATGTGTAAGTAATTTTCCTCTTACTTTACATGCAAATGCACAGGCCGTTTTTCATAAGCTTTAAAATGATTCTAAAACCTAATTTTTCTTGTAAAGTACATCTGAGGGGACATTTTTTTTCAGATGTATTGCAGCTGCGAGCAGTTTTTAAGTCCTCTTGTGACAGAGTAGAAATAAAGAGAAAGGATGTTGAAACGCGGATATTCAGACTGAAAAGGAGCTCAGTTAAAGAGCTTTGATCTATAAATGATCTTAGACCTCATCAGGATCTAAATTATTCCCATCTAACCTCAAGCACAAAAGACCACACACCCAATTGCAGGTATTAGTAAGTATAAAAAGATAGGGCCAAAATTGGAAAGTTAGTCTATATAAGACTATATTATCTTCTATATAAATGATGTGTGTTTCTACGTTTTTATCACTTCTTTACATGGTAAACCATGGATGATCTAAAACAGTCCCAAATCTCTGGACATCTACCGCAAAGATTTGACACATTCAACTCTTAAAATTAAAGCAGTTCGTCAGCAGTAATAAAAAACCACTCTGGTCCAACCACACATCTGCTGAACAGGGATTTACTTCTTCCTATTTACATCTTGGCACCTAGATCGTTCTCGTCTTCCTGTGTTCGGAGCCGTGAGCTGATAAACAACGTCGGCCTGCCAAGTTTTCTCAGCTTGTTGATTAGTGTTGGGTCTGTCTTGACTTAGGACGGGTGGGACTAATCCGAGATGATGCGATCTGTCTGTCAATCATGGCAGCGGTTAGTCAGAAAAAGGTTGATTGCAGAAGGGTGGATGAGCCAAAAACATCACAGCTTCACGTAGTAAACATGAATCCTAATTTATGAAGATTTCTTTTTTTTTTTTGCTTATTTGAAACACAGTCCAGGAGCCGTGATGCTACGTCTACCTTACAGCATGTCTGATATCCTACATACCAGTGTGGATCTGCCGGTGAGCCTCCAGGGATTCCTCAGTCTGGAACTGGGCACCACACTGGTCACAGACGATGGCCTTCTCTCCGGCTGGACGGCAAGAAAAAGGCAGAAAATAAGTGAGCATTTCAAAATTAAAAATCTGGAGCATAATATCAAAAATACATAGGAAAATTCAGTTTTTTTCTCCACCTTTTTTTGACATAAAAATACCAATAATAACCTTTGCAATTTATGCGAACAAACTGCATAAGCAGATGCGGATAAATAAGGAACCATGTCTGTCTGTTGAGGCTGATATATGTGTAGTTTGGCAGAAGAAATCCAAAAACAAAATATACTTAATTCAGGATAAGAGCTTGTTTGCTTTACATAAGCTCTACATGTTAACTCGCTATTTAATCTGTCAGAGAATCTGCATTCTGTTTTGATAACTTGCTTTAAAAAACGTATACTTTTAGGGAGTTGATTTTACATTTGACTGTTTATTGGATGTGTTGTCATTAATTTGATAAATCCCTCTATCCGCCCTCAGACTGGTCAGACTCGGACTTCATGAATATGTACATTTTATCAGTGGGCGTCTCTTTCCTGAGACACGAGTTCTGAAAAGCTGTTTCTTCTACACACGCTCTAAAAGCAACAACAGAAGTAGCCTGATAAAGATGATTAAGCATTAACCTAAATGTAGACAAGAGTGCTATTCGCTTCTGCATGCTTACATATTACTCAGCTGTGTAGAGTAGAACAGATACTCCCCTCTGATTTGATCCCAACCAGTATTTATGGCAGGCATAGATTAGAATTATCTGGATGATCATGATCTGCTGATACTCACAGATATCGTTTTATTCTTATTTTCTATAGCTGAAGGTAAATGTTTATAAGCTCACAATATACCTTCAATATTTCCAAACTTGTTATGCGAAACAGTAATTATTTTTAACTGCACAGGAGGCAGAGGTGGGGACTCGAGTTTGTGACTCGTACTCGAGTCGCACTTAAGTGGCATATTTAATGACTTCAGACTCGACTTAGACTTGCATTTGAAGGACTTCAGACTCGACCGAGACTCGCGATTTCCGTAAGTGTTTTTTGTTTTACTAACTTGACTGATCGCCGCTCGCCTTACCCACACACAGCAGAGGTTTAAAAAAAAAAAACGGCAGAGGGGCTGTCAAACAGTCATGTAGCACTGACGTCACTGACGCTACGTGACAACACTACATGACATATAAGCATGCATTTTTCACTTACCAGTTCAAGATAATGATCATTCCATAGATATAATAGCGACCTTTAAGCTATACCGTCTCAGTGAAGGAGATGAAAACACAAGGAGAAACAAGCAAGCACGCAAATTATTGAACTTATTTTTATTAATCATGTGATTAGAATTTATTGTGCGATTAATTTAATATTGCAACAGGCCTACTCTAGACTTAAGACTTGATTTGGACCAGAGCTCTAAAGACTTGAGACTTGACTTGGACTTGAGCTCTAAAGACTTGAGACTTGACTTGGACTTGAGCTCTCAAGACTTTAGACTTGACTTGAGCTCTAAAGACTTGAAACTTGACTTAGACTTGAGCTCTAAAGACTTGAGACTTGACTTGGACTTGAGCTCTCAAGACTTGAGACTTGACTTGGACTTGAGCTCTCAAGACTTGAGACTTGACTTGAGCTCTAAAGACTTGAGACTTGACTTGAGCTCTCAAGACTTGAGACTTGACTTGGACTTGAGCTCTAAAGACTTGAGACTTGACTTGGACTTGAGCTCTCAAGACTTTAGACTTGACTTGAGCTCTAAAGACTTGAAACTTGACTTGGACTTGAGCTCTAAAGACTTGAGACTTGACTTGGACTTGAGCTCTAAAGACTTGAGACTTGACTTGGACTTGAGCTCTCAAGACTTTAGACTTGACTTGAGCTCTAAAGACTTGAAACTTGACTTGGACTTGAGCTCTAAAGACTTGAGACTTGACTTGGACTTGAGCTCTCAAGACTTGAGACTTGACTTGAGCTCTAAAGACTTGAGACTTGACTTGAGCTCTCAAGACTTGAGACTTGACTTGGACTTGAGCTCTAAAGACTTGAGACTTGACTTGGACTTGAGCTCTCAAGACTTTAGACTTGACTTGAGCTCTAAAGACTTGAAACTTGACTTGGACTTGAGCTCTAAAGACTTGAAACTTGACTTGGACTTGAGCTCTAAAGACTTGAGACTTGACTTGGACTTGAGCTCTCAAGACTTTAGACTTGACTTGAGCTCTAAAGACTTGAAACTTGACTTGGACTTGAGCTCTAAAGACTTGAGACTTGACTTGGACTTGAGCTCTCAAGACTTGAGACTTGACTTGAGCTCTAAAGACTTGAGACTTGACTTGAGCTCTCAAGACTTGAGACTTGACTTGGACTTGAGCTCTAAAGACTTGAGACTTGACATGGACTTGAGCTCTAAAGACTTGAGACTTGACTTGGACTTGAGCTCTCAAGACTTTAGACTTGACTTGAGCTCTAAAGACTTGAAACTTGACTTGGACTTGAGCTCTAAAGACTTGAGACTTGACTTGGACTTGAGCTCTAAAGACTTGAGACTTGACTTGGACTTGAGCTCTCAAGACTTGAGACTTGACTTGGACTTGAGCTCTCAAGACTTGAGACTTGACTTGAGCTCTAAAGACTTGAGACTTGACTTGGACTTGAGCTCTCAAGACTTGAGACTTGACTTGGACTTGCAAAAAATGACTTGTTAACATGTCAGGAGGTAATGTACTCAAATATAAAACAAGGAAAGTGGCTTATTTTCAGATCTTTGCAGAGGTAGATAAGGTTGGTTGATTGGCTGTAAGATTGAGCCAAAAGACAATCAACTAAAATGAAATCTGGGCCAATTGCCCAGCTGGCCAGTTAATCAGTGCATCACTAATTATCTTGCATCTCTGGTTGTATATTTAGGGTTGTTCTAGAAGGTGGACCACCACCTCAATCTCAAGATTTCTTCCATCATTGCCCCATATTTATCTCCTTTATGTCATGATCCCAATATTTCAGGTATCTTATAATCTCCTAATGTCTCAATTTGCATGTAAATTTAATACCATGTTTGACATCATAAGGTCTTTATAATAATGGTATAAAAACTCGGTCTATACAGACGTTTTAATCTCCCTTCATATAGTAAATCAAAAATGTTTCAAGTAACATCTTCACTGCTTACCTCTAAGCACGTTCAAAATAATATCTGGCAACTTTCCTACTACGGGTTGCTTCATAAACAGAAGCAACCCGTTGCTTCTGTTTATGAAAGAATATAAGGGTGCGCAGCCATCGCACAGCTTACTTTATATAAACTAAACAACAATAAAAGAAGAAACAGGAGGCCCACATATACACCCATGTAGGGCACTGCTGAAGGGCACATCAGATCAAACTGAGACAAATGACTTTTTATGGCTTGGCAACAAGCTCCATACATGCCATACACATCACACATCAAACCAACGCAAACATACATACAGTTTTTTTTTTTTACATCTGGATGTTGTGTGTGTGTGTGTTTCCACTACAAGCATAGAGCTATCTCCCCCCGACTAGACCTTGGTTTGCTCTTGGCTCGGCCTCCTGGGTTACGACACCTCCACAAAGGGGAGAGAGAGAAAGAGAGATAGAGTACGAAATGAAAACAGGAAGCCAATTCTTAGATGACAGAGAGAAAATAAGTAGGAGAGAGATGTACTGGTGTGGTTTTGTAACCACGGTGACATTGGGGAACGGCTTGTACTGTAATAAGCTCCACCAAAAGCAGAAACGACACGCACTGTAACATGACAAAGTGTGCCAGCCGGCACGGCCATTATGCAACAAGTTATGCAAAAGACGGGATGGTGCACATGTGATTGTGACTAGATCATGAGCCACTGTAATGCAACCTAAAAAGCTTGAAAATCCCGGATTAATCCGCAATATCACAGCATGCATTACAGTTTTGGAAAGTTTTTTTTTTAAATGCTGAGCTGTGGAGAAAAATTGGGTTTGGCTGCATGTTCAAAAGAGACCCTTTGCAGTGTGAACTAGTGTCAACTGCACAGATGAGCATATGGTTGAATTAGCTTTGCAAAAGCATCCACTTAACCTTTGGAGGAAAGAAACACAGATATAGACACGGATTCCCTCATCGCTTCATCGTTATAGTGCCATATTTGCTTTCATCACTACCTGCCTTTGTTGCTGCTGATGCATCTGATTCATCATTGCTGTATGTCTATTTTTTTATCTTCCAGGAGCTGCAGCTACTTGGATAAAAGTTCACTGGACTCTTTCCATATATTGATCCGATTCCATCGACTGCCCTTGTAGAAAACAAGTGGGACACTTTTACGACCACAGGAGAGCAACTTCACCTCTGTCCCATCAAACTGATGGATTACATCAAAGTAAATACACAATGTAGGTCAACTATTCATCAGCGTTCGTTATTGAGAGCAAGTATCCAGAGCAGCTCATCACTAACTTATTAAAAAGTTGAATAATATTAGATATTCAGTTTTCATTTCGAGCAGAGGGATGTGATTCATCTGTTTACTTCAGTAACTTTATGTCTCAATAGGGAACTTTAAATTAGGGACCAGAAATGTCACATGCGGTGTTCCTCAAGGCCCCTTTCTGGGGCCCCTCCTATTCAATATCTATATGCTCTCCTTGGTAAACAACCAGATCAGTTAACATAACTATGCAGACGACACACAGCTTTACATCACAATGTCACCAGGTGACTATGAACCCATCAGTGCATTGGCTAGATGCGTAGAGCAGATCAACGTATGGGTGCTCCATCATTTTCTACAACTGAAAAACAACAAGAATGAGGAAATAATGTTCGGAAGAAAAGAGGAGAGATCCAGATTAGCACACAGCTGATCAAACTGATTATGGCCGAAATTTTGGTGTGATTATGGACTCAGATCTGAAACTTTAAGGGCACAAAAAGGCTGTTACCAAGTCAGCCTTTTATCACCTGAAGAACATCTCCAGGATTAAAGGACTAATGTTCAAGCGGGAGCTAAAAAAAGTATTTAATTTATGTATCT